AGTAGGGAACGACGGAAGCGATAAACCATCACGTGCAATTGCAACATACGTTGCATCGACGTGTGTTACATACATGCGCGCGCGCGTTCACCAATAGTTAAGTCATCGGTGGCGTAAACGCCGTTGCCAAGTATAAGTGTACGTGAGCGCGCATGAACGCAAGGTGGTCGTGAGTCAACGTGGACGTCGAACAACCAGTGAAGAGAGCCGCCGATCAGCACAAAGAGACCAAGAATCAAGACGAACCGGCAGGGTGAAGAAAAGGGAAGAAGAGAGCCTTCCGAAGGAGACACGCTGGAAGATGGTCCAGCGATGAGACACTCTCGCGAACGCGGCGGGGCACGGAGGGGGTGGGGCGGGGTGGAAGGAAGAGAGGGCCGAAGACACCGCGAGAAAGAGAGAATAATGCGTTAAAGCAGCAAGCAGCAACTACTCTAATTGGCCACTTTGTCCATTTATTCGATTTATTTAAATTATGGGACAATTGACAGTAGGCATTCTATTTTTTAAATCTCCCCGGCCAACCGGTTGATTGGGCGAGATTGGCGTGAGACACTGGCCCCACAGATTCCCCAGTTGTGGGCTTAATCAGCTTTGATTGCTGCCCTCTCTCTCTCTCTCTCTCTCTCTTTCTCTCTTTCCTTCTTTCTCTTCTGACCATCTGCGTGTCTCTTCCACCGTCGCTCTTCCTCCGGCTACCGTGTTCTTTCTCTCTTTCTCACTGTCTTTTTTTCCCTTTCTCGTGTCCAACGGCAGCAACGACGAACCCGAGAGGAGCGCAACAACGCTACAATTTTATTTTATTCGGCTTGAACCGCGGATCTCGCGCGACGAGCTTAATGCCGTGCGGGAGCGCGAGACGTTGATTGGCCGATCCGAAATTGTGGGAATGCGTCTCTGGATAACAGAGACGACCCAGAGAGAGAGAGAGAGAGAGAGAGAGGCCGCCCACTTCTCTCTCTCTCTCTCTCTCTCTCTCTCTCTTTCTCTCTAACCCCATCTCCGCTTCGGGACTCTGCTTTGTCAAACGATTACCATAATTTCCGCTGTCGGTCCTGATTCGTTTCTTCGTTTTCAACTGAAAACTACGCTCGTCGTCGAGCTGTATGATAGACGGGAGTGCAGACGGTTAGAAAGGAGAGAAAGAGAACGAAGATAATAACGCAAAGTAGATGAAAGAAATAAACTGAAGAGAATAGCTATAATTGTATATTATAGAATAATATCGTGGGAGAATAGCAGTTGATCAATCCCTGGACTGGTATTTGCCGTTGGACATTTTAGACTGTCCATTGTTTAATTTTGCAATTTTTGACTCGACTTAATTTTATAACCACCTGTTGCGTCTGATCCGTTCCTCTAATGAGGTCCACCTGAAATCACGAGCCACCTGTTGCATCGGATTCATCCCTCTAATGAGATAAACGAGATAAAACGTAGCATTTCAACCCCTTCGCGTTACGAACGAAGACTTTCATCTTACAATGGAGTTTCAGTGGATATAATTGGCATAGAATGGAACAAACGGATTGAATTCAATAAATACACGAATATCGAGAGTAAATGAACGAAGGCTATAGGTAACGAATCTTTAGACGAAATAATTAAAAATAAATGGAGTAAATACGTGTTTTATAAGTATAAATTTTCATTTTGGATAAAATGACAAGTTTCTTAATAAATGGACACGAAGATTTTCATTTTAAACTTTTCGCTGGAATAATAAAAAAGAGAATAAAGCAAATATGCTAGTTTCTATCTCGAGCGGTATAGCGAGTTATATATTCAATGCGAGAATGATAATTTAAAATGGAAGTAAATGGACAGATTGAGCCACAAACGAACGAAGAGTTTAATCAATCTCAACATATACGTTCTGGTGGATCAATTGAAGAAGAACAGATCGGACGGACTAATTTTAACGAATATACATACAACTTTCATCGCGTCGGTGAAAGAGAGAAAGAGAAGCATCGCGAGAGAAGGAATCCGCACGTTGCTAATAAAACGAGAGGAATCGACGAGACACAACGAACGATAGGTAGACCATTCGAGACGGCGTATTTATAAACGAGTATCGACGGGATTACGTAACGTCTCGATTCTATCCCCGCGATGTCCTATAATTAATGAAATTCTCATCGAGTCACTGACTTCTCGATTCTATAGCCAATCGATCGCCGGTTGCCTTCGTGGCCGATCTAAAATTAACCGATGTGTCGTTAGAACGTCACCGGGATTCACTTTTGCTTAGGGACTTTTTCGTCTGGTTGCGCGCCGCTCGTTTAGGATTCGCTTTGCAAATCCCGATGATGTCTGACGTAACCATTCTTCGAGAAACGTTCCAATCGATCGAGAGAATCCATCGGCGATCGATCCTGCCGTGGGATTTGTTTTAATCTTGTCTTTGACAAAATGATTCGAAACGGTATTTCTGTCGAAGATGGAACTGCACGCGTCGATAATTAATAAACAATCTGTCGTACAATTTAATGAATTCTCTTACTTTTGGAGAAGAAATTTCGATAAAAAAAAAGAAAAAATGGCAAGCAAGGACATTAATCTAGAAAATGATGTATCTTTGAGTAAACTTTTCGATAAATGGTCACATTTTTGTAACACCATTCAGAACGATGATCTTGACGAAGTATTAAAAGATTGTCGAAGATGACACGGTTTTTCTAAATTTTCCTTAATGTTATAATACCATACTTCGATTAATTTCTGAGTATTTTGTATATTTTCGGACTTTGCGAGCAATTTTGCTTCAACCGACGCGTAAAAAAATTGCCAAAATTGTGGACGACTTCATTTCTGAAAATACATATTTACCAAATATTATAATAATAAATACTCCCGATATTGTAGGAGTCATCTACAGTAGTCTTTGCAAACTACTACAAAATTTTCTATAATTCTAGTGTCAAATTTTCCCACGAGTGCATAAAAATCCGCAGCGATTAATAGTAACGATATTTCTTCATCAATACGTGACACAGTTTTCTCGAATGTAGCATATTGGGGTGGTGGGTGTGTATGGAGAGGGGGAGGGGGGGGGGGGAGGCGAGACCTGCATGAATCTGTTTCCACGCACGGTCTTCCTCTCTTTCCCGATCGTCCGCGACCAGGAAAACCCCCTTCAGCCCCCTCGTGGGACCCATTTGCGCTCATCCCATTTCCTTGATAATTCCCATAATGCTGTGGGCGGATATTCCAATAAAGGGGGAAGAGCCCCAGGCCACAAAACGCTGAAAGCATGGTACACGACTCGTTTCGTCAGGTTGTACACGATTTACGAGCCTGCACGGATTCAATCGAAATAAATAGTAGGCGCGACGCGCGTGCGTCCTTCGCTACCGAACAAGATTCACGTGGGAATTGGTAATTGAATCGAGAGAGATGCGGGACCATTGTGCTCGGGACGGTTTAAACAATTTTCAGAATAGTCTTGATATATTCGGAAAGACTTTGAAGTCTTGGCTTTTGAAACAACGTAGGAAATGGATTTGTGGTGTACATTTTTAAAATTGAAGAGCTTATGATAAAAGCAACCCTCGTTCACGTTTATCTCTGTTCGAGAGAGTTGAATTCTTTTGAAAAAAAGGTTATTATGACATAATTGTTGCAAGGGTGTCTAGATCATGGGAAATTTATAATTTTAATTTTAATTAAATCGGAAATTAAATTTATAAATTCAATTAAATCGGAAATTAAATTAATAAATTTAATTTTAATTAAATCGGAAAATTGTTGAATTATTTTCTCATAGAATCAGTTAATTTTTACGCGACAATAATTCAAGATCATGTTTTCTACTATTAATTTTAACATGTTGTAAGTCTAGTTTCTGACTATTGGAACATGTTACATATTATTTGAGAAGTCGAAAAATTTGTCAGGGACAATTATTGTAACGAAAGACTCAATTTCATCCAAATGAGGATTCTTGAATACCTTTTGATTAATTTCTGTTGAAATTGTAGACCACCTGTTGTATCGGATTTATCTCTTTAATGGGATAAACGTAAAAGTACCATGGAAAAAATGGTAAAAGCTCTGAAATCGTGTCTACGTCTATCCACAATGAATAAAAACTTTCTTCCTATGTGCGATAACGCTTTCAAGTATAAAAGACCTTCATTTTTATTGTAACAAATATTACATAGAATGATAAAAATCAAATAAATGGACCGATTTCAAAAAATATACGAATATAAAGTATAAATGAATGAAGAATTCCATCTTACATATGATAACAGATTCTGAATAAAATAACAGCTTAAAAGAAAAGTTCGTGCGTTTTACTTAATTTCCAATCATTTCTTTATTTTTATAATTTTGATTGTTCTTTCATCTCTTATAATAATTGCAAGTACACTTCAAGTGTTTCATTTTCATTTTCTCATTGTTAAAAATGACTCACATTCTTTACCTCTTACTTTCCAAGTTACAGAATGGTAGAAAACATTTGAACATAATTTAAAGTTTCAAAAGTGGCTGCGAAAATTTCAATTTGGAAATTTTCTTTTAACTCGAAAGATATACCAAAAGTAATATACAAGAATAATTCATACAACAATATTAATAATTATCCTAAATTATCCATCGAGTTACGAATAATTCAGTGGTTAACGTTCCTCGAATAATACAGTGAAATTTATTCAAAATAAAAACGCACGATCTTTTCAACCAATCGAATAACTAAAAAAAATATATATATATATATATATATATATGGATCAAACGTGGATTGATCGAAGCACGGATTATTGCCAATTTCAATGTGCATCGCTCGCGACTCGTTGCCTTTTGTCCCCACTCAACCCCTCGTCGCCCCGATATCTTTTCCTTTTGTTTCGCCCCGGTTTCTTTTTTCCTTTACCCCTCCCCTTTCCTGTTTGCCCGCCGGTTGGCGCAGGGTCGTCGAACGAGCCGGAGACTCGATTTGAATCTAATTACGATCCCGATAATTCCGTAAGGAGGCGGAAATAGTAACTCACCGGAAACCTTCGGGTCAGCTGCCTCCACCTTCATCGCCGCCAGGCTCGCTATTGTCGGCGGTACCTAAAAGAAAATACATTACGATGTACAATGCACCAGCATGCTCAGGGCCGTGCTCGCGATGGGGACGAAAGGGGGCCGCCCACGCAATTCGAACAAGGGGGGGAGGGGGACAGGGAAAGACGACGACACACGGTACGCGCCACTATGAATCCGCGACACGTGTCGTTAAAAAGTTGAATGCCTCGAAATTATGCGGGGTTCGGATCGATCCTTCCTTTTTTTTGGGTTAGGGGAAAATTTCGGTGTGTCTGCCCCGACAGAGCGGCGGACGTAATTTTCTATGTGAAATCTGGGGTGATGTAAGAGGATTTTTTTATTTTTTTTATTTTTTTTTTGTGGAATGTAATCCAACGACGACGTTGAATTGGGGATACTTGGGAAATTTCCGTGATTTGAAATTGTTCCTCGCGGTTCGATGTGAGTGGGTATTTCGGTAAGGTGGAATTTATTTTCGAAAGACGCGATGAAGTAATTCGGACTGTAACGTGGCAATCTTGAATACTAATTAGAACATCATTCTGAATAATAATGCGAAGTTGTAGCGAAATTATTGATATTGTGAAATAATATTACAATACGATCATATTGCGCGTTGAATGTGAATAATATCGCAATAATTTTGTGAAATCGTTGAAAGGGAATGCAATACATAACTTGATGAGAAGTTCTTTAGCCAAACTGTATGAATCTAATAAGAAAAGTATTTAGACATGTAGAAATACTTGTAGAAACCATTTTTCAAATAGACGTGAAAAATATTAAGATTAACATTATAATGACCACGAACAATAAAAAATTGAATTTATTACATTACGAAGATCGCGTTTGACTCTGAAGACGACATTGGAGACCAAAATTTTGATATGATAAATCTTTTTTGAATAATACGCGCTAACAGAACTTTGTGTGACCAACATTTATACTACATTAATACTATTTAATTGATAAAATTTCAGCTTTTCAGAAGATTCTTTTCTTTCAAACGACCCTGTACACTTTGATATAACAAAGCAAATCTTTGAATCGCTCTGAACTGAACTTTGTGCGTGGACCATTTGTTCGTCCACCCTCTTCTTCTTCCAAACGGGACGTTCACTTATCCAGAATATTTTCGACTGAAGATACTTTGGCGCGTATGTGCACAAGTACTGTGAGAAATTCGACGAGTTAACCTTTGGTCGGCGATTTTTCGCGATGACAGAAATTGCGCCTTTATCGTTACGACATCCTCTCTTCGAGACGTTATGCGAAACGGAAACGGCTTCCGGTTCCCCAAAAACGTTCAAGTACGAGGTATATAGGGTCGTTGACCTTTGCTGTGTAATGTGCAAATGTATGTCACATAAAACGTGTACCAAGAAAATGCATTTCGAACAATGTCTTCTCCCATTAAGAATTCTCATTTTATGAAATATATTAAATGATTTCTTTTATTGAGAAATTTAAAGGCGGGCTTCACTAGTGAGAATGAACGAATAAAATGGTGAAGAATTTAGAAGAAATTTATTTATTTTCTTTAGCTTCAAGATTTTATGAATGTATTTCCATATTTAAAAATTTTATTAGTATTGTGTAACGGGGTTCGAGTTAAACATAGCTGAAACTTTGAACTTTGAATCTGAAAATGTATAAAAGAATACCAGTACAGGCTAGTGAAAGAATGAATTTAAATTATCACATTAACAAGCTTCAATATTCTCATTTGCATTGTTTGCAGTAAATACTTTGCAGCTTCTGAATAAATATACATATATATTTTCAGATCTGTTTCGAAGCTTCTCTAGTAAACGTGGCACTAGTTAATAAAACTTGTAATTAATTAAATTCTGTTCAAGCTCTTCGATTTTACTAAAACTATGTAAAACACTAAGAATTCTTGATGACTTTTAATAAGATAAAAAACTTCCAATCTAAACGTATCGAAATATATACCTTATTATAATTGAAATATGGAACGAAATTGCGAATGATCCAAATTCAATGACCAGGCTCGAAGTTTCTCCTAGACCATTGCTATTAAAGGAGGTCGGACGTTAGTGGGAACGAAGAAAAAGGAGTAAAATCAGAATAACACGCGCGATGCTCGAAAGGGATGCCAGTTGCCCGGAAGCCCCATCGCGGTGCAAATTATTCGAATCCTGTACGATTTCCGAAGCCGTATCTGCGATGCTACTACGATCCGTGGCGTCGTTGAATTTATGAAGCGATTGCCACATCGTGCGCCCATCGTGTTTGTCTTGCGTGTGTCTTCCTTTCCTTTCGTTTCCATTTTCAGCCAATCGGGTCGATTTTCTTTTTCTGTTTCTGCCTGCTCCCTCGCACAGGGGAACACACGGTGGCACATATGCACGACAATCGGCCCCGTGGCCAACCGATCCGCCATTTATATTCTATGCTCATAATTATCGACCTTCGATGCCCAATATTACGGATCGACGTTGCGGATCGCATGGCAATGCGCCGAGAAGAATGTTTCGCGGGAAATTTTATCGAGCGATAAAATTCGAGAATACCCGAGAAGTCGAAAAAATTGGTATGTAGCACAGATTCGAGGATTCTAAATTTTTTCCTGACAATGTTTGAGAGTACAGAGATTCTCATCGTGAAAGAATTTTTATTCTCAGTCAGACGTGAAAGGAACATCGAAAATAGTTGTATCACATAGAAAATTGATTCCTGACACGATCAAGGAAAACTATGAAGTTTAACTTATTAATTGGGTCATTTCTTAACTAAAGATTTTTGTAATTATAAAACTGACTGATGATCTACAAATGATATACGATGTTAGAATACAATATTATATTGAGAAGAAAAGTTAAATCGATTTTTTTTGTCTAACAGATTAAAATTCGACGCATTTTTGTAAGTTTTGAAGCTGTAGAGTGAATTCTCTTTTTTCTCTGAACAATGAGGTGCAAAGAATGGACAAGTTCAAAAATTTCAAGAAAATAATGATCACGAGAAAATTGCACGATTTTCTAAAATCACAGATTTTAGTGAAAATTGACTGATAGAATGAAAAATAAAAGCTAAAGCGTATAAACTTTACGACTTAAAATTTTTCCATAACTTGTAATAACGAGAAATCGAATGAGAATTCAAGATAAAGTATATGAATTTTCAGATTCTGAATCTTTTCTTAAATTTGAAAATCATTCAGAACGATCAATGTCAATAGAAAGGGAGTAGTCATTTCCTAAGGAACCATAAAAAAAAAAATTCCAAGATTCCAAACCTTCTCACGGTCTATCAAATAGACAAAAAGCGAGGACACAGCTATTTCGTTTTGATTCATGCGATTTTGGTGGACGTTTTAACAACCAGAATTGGGAATAATTAATTAAGGTTTCGAGACCTTCTGCAGATTCCATGGAATAGCAGCAGCGTTCTATCCTTGGATGATTCACGATACCAGAATGCCGCGCAAACGTGACAGAATTTGACTGGTAGAATCATGGATAGCATGAGAATTTTTGTCGTATGAGACACACTCGGACTAATCCGTGTCATAAAGGAGAGGCACCTTCCCTTCCTTTAATGGCCAACGAATAATAATATTTGAAAAGAATGTTCAGCGACACTCCAGTTCACAAATATAAGAACACCCTTTTGGTTCTATATGAAATGTGACAATTAATTTAAATAACTATCGGGGAAACGATTAATTTATTGAGAACTAGTTTGTTATGATGTTGCAAATCATTAAATTTCATAAAATTATGTGAATCATTTCATCAAAAAGTACATAAAATAATCTAAAGTCTAAAATGATCTAAAATCTAAATTTAACAATGAATAATAAATTAAAAATGCATTTATCTTTAGATATTCTTTTGACATATTTATTCAATGTATTATGCTCATTGAATCTCTCTCTAATAAGTAAACTAATTTTTTTACTATTGATTATAAGATTCTACACTATCTCAAAGGGTTAATGTAACAGTTAGAAAGTTATTGCAAAAGTTGCAATAAGATAATGCTAACTTTATACATTTTGTACAATTTTTACTTCATTTTTCATTATTACTTTTATGATTTACATCGTTTTTTGCGTTAAAGTGATACTACGAGACACTCTGCAAAATTAATCTACAGCCACCTTCAATTATTGCTCATTAATTTAAATTAAAAAGATTCGTTATTATTTTATGCATTTGCAACAATTCAGAACTGTCCAAACACTTGATACAGGCGAGCAACTCCCACAAAGAAGAAGCAAAAAGGAAACCAACGTCGAAACGAAAAGAGAAGAAGAAGAAAGAAAAGAAAGAAACTCCAGCCCCCTTTCCAGACATCAGAAAGTCAGTACGTGCGCCACAAAGCAGATTTCGATTGCAGAGCAGCCCACCATCGGGTTTCATAGAGTGGTACCATGGCGAAACTCGGTAGTATAAGGAAGGAACAGCAAGCAAAGAAGAAGCAAAAGAAGAAGAAGAAAAAAAAGGACGAAGAGGAAGAGAGTCAGAGGAAGGAAGCAACGATCGTAGAAACAAATAGAAAATACTATGTTATACGTATATGCTGAGAGCATTGGCTAAGAAGACGACAACGACGACAATAAGAGGAAAGAAGAAGAAGAAGAAGAAGAAGAAGAAGAAGAAGAAAATTGAGCACGAAAAGAAAGAGCAGAGAAGAAGAAGAGGGTAAAAGAAGAGCGTTTCAAAGTTAGAAAGAGAGAAAAAGAGAGAGAGAGAGAGAGAGAGGTGAAGACGGAGAGAGGAGGAGTGAATAGGGAGGAGGGCAAAGAGGGAACCGGGAGAGTATAGAGGTATATGAGAAAACAATAGAGCTGATTTGCAAACAATAGAATAACGTTAAGAGTCGAGTATTATACGCCGTTGTTACTTCTTGTGCCATAACGCCGGAGAGCATATGCCCATTAATATTCAAAGGCGAAAATAATGTAAACGACACGACAAAAATCGGGGGAATAATTTCAATTCTCCCCGTATGGGATTCCAGCGTGGCGATACACCGAGCCTCCCGGGCCATTTCGTGTCTCCTCTTCTCGGACCACGTATGTAACACATGTATATTTAGCTCGACTCCGCGCACACCGATTGTCGCTGCATCACTATGAGAAAGCCGATGCAAAAGTCGAACCGTTCTCCGTTTTCCTTCGCGAATTTCCTTCCGCGGTAAATGGTAAATGGTAAATAGCAAATGAAGAGTCTCTCATGAACTCTGATCGCGAAAGGGGTGGTTCGCCTTCTGAATTCACGATCACTGATTCGTTGAATCGGAAGCAAGGAATTTGTAACTGTTCTTGAAGTTTGTACACGACGTATGAAAAAGAAACAGAATAAACGACGTGGCAATTTTCAATTATAATCTTTCGCTCTACCCCATTTGATCTTCACTATATGTTAGTTTAAATATTAAACCGCGAGACCTTCGACTTCGTTAATTTCCTATAAATTCCTTCCAATAATATTTTACAGCGGAAAAATTCGTTGAAATAAATTTTGTCATATCAATCTAATTTTCATTGCATGTATATATAGTATGCACTTGTATATATTAAGAATATTAAAATAAATAAAAGTATATATTGTATATCTGCCAAACCTTCAATTTTATCCACATCCTCCGCACTGTTCCCACATTAATTTTTATCGTTGGATAAAACACAATGTTTCTTATTACTAGCATTCCCCATTCAATATATTCAAGGTGTGGTACGAATTTTTGTTCACATATATGCGCGAAGGTTCCTCAGAGATATTCTGCAACCCATTCCAACTTACTGGAATAACGCTTACTATATGAAACTTCTATATGTATATCGAATGTACGTAGGGTGTGTCGGAAGGATGGCGCAGAATGTTAATTGTTCTTTTAGAAAGTTAATTCCTCGCTGTCTGACGTAATTCGTTCTCCGACCAAACCGAACCATTGATGCGTCTCCTTCTTCTTTTTTTTTTCTACTTGACAATATGAACAATTTCATACGTCAGACGTTTTATTAGTCATTGTGGAAATGCAAAATTCACGCGCGTTTGAAACGAAGTTCCTTCCATCGTCGATCAATTTCCAAGCGATCGTTAGCAGCCTACACGCGATAAGATAAACTGAGAATTTTGTTCGAATTTTATAAAGAACGTACGGTGGATGCACGAGAAATAACGTTTATTGAATTAATACTAAGTGCTTGTTCAATAAACAAATATTGTATATTCTTTTGCAACACACTCAATGATGTGGTGTAAAGGATAACGAAAATTTCACAGTCAAAGAAATAATGACCAAACAATATGTTTCTTCAATTTCTTTCCCTTCACTAAATAATTCTACCATTTTCATATAAAAAAGAAATTGAAATACAAAGTCGAAAGACACATTTATATATATTGAAAACATTGGAACTTTTCATTTAATAATTACAAAACTTTATCTACTTTTAAATGTTTTTCCCCTTTGAAGTTTTCTTCGTGCAAATCAGGACAAGAAATATCAAATTTAGGGTATCTTCTTTTCTTTTAAGATTGAGTTGAAAAATAAAATATTGAATATACACTTCAAAAGAAAAAAAAAAAAAAATTTAATATAAACATTAAAAAAAAAAAAAAAAAAAAAAAACTGAATTACCCTCATCGAAGGATATTAAATAGAATTTATAACAAAAATACTATACACATATATAAAAGATAAGATATATACAAAGTATGTGTCAATATTGCTTTGAACCAGTGCAATGTGTAGCTTTATCGTCAGATGAAATCGAATTGCTTCTTTTTTTTTTTTTTCCAAGCGTTTCCAAGCGATTCTACACACATACGTATGCGCAATGTGAATCGAGGGGAGAGGAATCATTGTTCTCTCTTTCTCTCTCTCTCTCTCTCTCTCTCTCTCTCTCTCTCGATTATTTTATGGGAACACGTCTGAACGAATTAAGGTCAAGAATCAGGGACTCTCGGAGATTACGGCAATATGTATATCGAGGGACAAATTATGATTGGTTGGTTCGTGGTTCCAGGAACCCCTGAATTATTCTAGCGTAGCTACGCGTTTCCCGCTGGAATACCAGCGACTTTTACGAGGCATCAAATACGAATGATTCACCGGCTGTCATCCAATGAAACTTCTGTCGCTTTTTTTTTCGTCCATATAATATTTTCCACTACAACGCTTTCTTCGTTCGTTTCATTTGACTTTAAACTCACCAAAATGTTATACAATAATGTACGTAGTCGTTCATAATCTTTTCTTGATTTAGCAATTTTTATCAACTGATCAACTCCGTTAACGAAAATGTAAAGAAGAATGAAAGTTACAAGTATTATTTTCTAAAAATTTATCTTGAAATGAATTGCAGTTTATACCATCTCTCTGTAGTAAATAAATAAATAATATAAATATCAATAAATAACAATAATAAATATCATGACAGAAATAAGTACCGAATATTAATTTTGGCTAACAAAATTGAGAACATCGTGCATTATAAAATAAAATGAATTTGATCACTTCTGAAGCGGTTGAAATAATTCTGCAGAACACAACTTCTTCGAAAATAATGGGAAAAGAAAAATCGAACACAACAGCAAGAATCTTTATATATCCACTCGTAACAGTAAAACGTTTTGATAGATGACAGATTTATACACGGTGCTGGTACAGATCGAATTTAATCCAGGAAGAGTTTCCTCATAACCAGATCTAAAATATGACGGTAAAACGCGAATCATTTCTCCATGGAACCATTTCGATTTCCATTGAAGGTGGTTGGAGAGAAGAAACGAGAACGCTAAGCTAACGATGGAAACGATTTCGCGCGGAGTCAACTCTACATACATCATCGAGTCATCAATGCAGCACGCTGTTACATGTTATTCTTGGATGTAGTTCAATTTCACGGAACAACGAACCGCGACTAACTAGTTTTGTATTGCGAACGCAGCGAAAATTTTCTACGCGAGAAACATTGTAAAAAAATAAAAACTCGACTGCAACTCGATATCTACATCACGAATTCTTTTCCTCTGTCTTTTTTTTTTTAATATTTCTGAATTTTGCGTCTTTGAAAGAAGAAAGAGAAATCTGTCGAGACTAGGTGAAATGATCGATTACCACAAATTACAAAGGAAATAAATCAGGCTCGGATAGAATAAATTCGAATGAAATACTTGTAGAACAATTATTGATTGATATAAAACGATTGTCTTTAGACTGTAGATTTTGATGCGTTTATAATTAATTTTGAAGTACAAAATTAAAAGAATATGTTACGAAAAAATGTCTACTGTATGTACTTATTACGACATACAACATTGTATTAAAATTCTATTTTTTACATTATATTTTCAAAAGATCCACAGTCTAATCATCGTCTAATCAAATGATTTTTCTATAAATTATTCAATTATCTGGCTTTATTAATTTGGCTAAATGAAATAATTTCTCATTTCATTTCGTATTTTATATCGATTATTTCTACGAATAATATCCAACTTCGACGAATTTAACTCAACAATAAAAGAGAAAAGTCAGTTGCACATGACCTATCTCACAGAACCCGAGCCATTTTTATTTCTCAAAACAAAAGTAACAAACCGGCGATAACGATCCTTCGCCTGAAATTGTTATTTCAAATGAAGTTTGCCCGACGCCGGAATGAATTAGTAGAGAGATTTGGTTCACGAGGGAAACGGCAATCAACGTGGTCGAGTCAATTAAGGAAAGCTTTTAAAACCGCGAACAAGATTTCACAGTGAATTAGTTATCTCGGTTGCGTCACCGGGGTCGCCAATAAATCGAGATAATTATTTTCATATAATTGGCACGGCGTGCATGGGATGTTGGCGTTGGTCATTAAAGTGGAAACAAGTTGAACGATATCCAAACCGCTGTAGCAGATGCTCGCGGCATGTTGACAATTCGGTGTCACGTCATCATCAACGAACCTGGTGCCTCCGCGTCCACGAGGCTCTGCTATAATCGATCTACGTCTTACGAGTCACGAGTTTAAGCCCGGTTCACAGCGGCGTGTCACGAATAACATCAAACGAAATTTAATCTAGATTCCTCGCGGATTTATACCGAGCGTAGTACAACGATAAAAATAATCGGTTCTCGTTCTATTGTTTTCTCGATCTTTAGTGCATCGCGTTTATTTCTAGTTGCAATTAGAGTTGCGTGGTGTCGAGCGAATGAAAGATTCCTTTATCGTAGGAATTCGACGAATATTCTGATCTTGTTATTATTTCCTTTCAGAAATTTAATACTTAAGTTTAGAATTTATCGTGTTTCCTCTTGGAAATTTAACAAACACGCTATGACAATATAAAATACTTTTTTGAAATTCTATCAAGTTTCAAAGGAAATTTAGAAGATTCTATGGAAGTATTCTTTAAGAAAAAAGGAATAAAAGAAAATTAAATTTAAAACAGTTTCCGTGAAATCTCAGCAACAAAAAAACATTTCCATTTTGTTCGCAGATATAAGCATACTAAATTTAAAAAATAATTTCGCTACTCGTAAAATTTTAAGGGAAGCTTCAAAGACTCCATTCACTAAAAAAGGAAAAATAAAAAAAAAAGAAAACTAAAGATACCGAATTGAAAAATCAATCCTCCCAATTTCCGCCGCTTTTAAAAAAGGAAATCGAAAAGATTCCATCCGCCAAAAAAAAAAAAAAAAGAAAAAAATTCCACCCTGAAAGTGTCCGCGAGGCGACAACGAGCAACGCACGACGCCGCAAAGGAAAAGGAGGAAAGAGGAAACGAAACAATCCATTTCCGTCGCGCGATGGCGAGAGAGAAGCATTTGGGGGAGGGACAAACACACCGAAACGCTCCGCGGGAGATGAAAGGGACCCTCGTCTAATTAATTTGTTCGACTGACTCACCCTCGACTCTTCAGGTTCCTCCCTCCTCACGTTCTGGAAAAGCACGCTGCCGATCTGAACTTGAAGGTTTTGCTGCAACAACTGCGCCAATTGTGGATTCTGCGACAAAATCGCTGGATTCTGTTGCAATAATTGAGCAAGCGCCGGATTTTGCACTAAAATCTGGCTTAACGGTGTATTTGCCACCGTGTGAAGCGATTGTTGCTGCTGTTGCTGTTGCTGATTTGATTCTTGATGCTGTTGTTGTTGTTGCTGATGCTGATGCTGATGCTGATGATGATGCTGCTGCTGATGCTGTTGCTGCTGCTGCTGTTGAAGGTTCGGAGAATTGGCGTTCGAGGTCTGACAGGACTGTGACAGGTTACTCGGGGGTGGATTGTGTCGCGGTGGACTTTGAGGGGTGTGCGGAGGCGTCGGTGGACTTCCCGGCGCCATTGACGATGCATCCTTCTCTTCTTTCACTTTCACTTTCCCTGCAACAAAAACAGACGTCATTTCGTTAGTTTAAATTTCGAATTAAATGAGAGCTCGAGGGAAACGGGGATTGATTAATTACGAAGAAGTTAAGAGAAAGTTAATTTTAATTGTGACAATTCTGTTACGACAATTTGCGACGAAAGTTTAATTTTATTTGGAAAAATAATAATGAATGAGGTTATTTATTCAGAAGTTTATTTGTTCAAGGAATTTTGCTCCTCGATTAGTTAACCTTACTTCGAAGACTTCTTTGAAAATAGATAGAAACATGTTCATCAACGAAACAAGAAACAAATTATTCTAATTATTCAGTTCAAGAAAAAACTCCTCCAATCCTTGAGACAATCTTTCGAAAAGAAATTTTCGAATTTCAAAGAAAAATCATGGATAACACTTTCCTTCAACTTGGGAAATTTTTTAACAGGGCAAGTTCAGAAATGAACCGAAAGAACGCGATCGAATCGGATTGAACAAATTTCTAGAAGATATTCCATGGAGATCCAAACGTTCTTCTTTCAGCTATCAGACATTGGTTCTTCGACCTGCTTTCGATGACACTTCGAGGAGACTGGCAAGGGCGAGTTGAATTTTCCGAGATTTCGGAAAGGCAAGGTGGGGAACTGGGCTCTGGATTGGTCGAAAGCCGGAATACGGATCAACGAATAGAAACGCGACGACTTCGTGGTGGTAAAAAAGTGACTGAGGGGAAGTTTTTGCCGGTGAAGGCCGAGAGTCGTGAAATTGAGACGTCTCGATACTGAAAAAGCCGCAATCGACTGCGGGAGCAGGTACATCTGCTGATTCCCTAAGCCCCCGATTTTCATACCCCTCCAGATACTTTCAAATTACGTCTAAACGACAGTTTTATGGCATTCATCGAGATATTTTTCTTTTCGTAATTTTGAAATTAATTTCTCTTAGTTCTTTCGCTCATTTAAATTCTTATTTTCCACTTTATTCGTGAAATTCTATGTCTGAAGAATTTTTCGTTGCTTTTTTTCTTTTTGTTATTAAAATTTTGTTTCATATATTGTTTTCTTATTTGTCGAATCTTGTATTGGTATATAATTTATTTTATTAGTAGCACACGTATGATTTTAATGACCATTAGTTGATCAATGAGTTTACGTATTCAGTGTTTGATAAGGAATGTTATAGTTGGTAATATAACTTCAATTCACCTTTCAAAAATTTGTGATTATTCTATTTTAATATCCACTTATATCGTTGTATCGCATATACGATTTGATGTTAGTACAAATAAATGAAATTATTCATTAAAATAATGAAACCGTATAATTGTACAATAAAATAATATTTGATTATTTAATTAATGCCAACATTGAAAAGTCTGTAAAGAACGAATAATACTAAAAGGAACATTGACTAGTTCTTCCTATAATTTATATCTTAACCCAATGATATTTTTAAAGAGTTCCATAGAATTCAATTTTTATAAAAGTTAAAAGTTCTATAGAATTTAATTTTTATAGAATTTAATTTTAGATTATAGAAAGTACAATTCAAATAAATCCGATCAATACACATACGATTTCTACACGTTTCAACGAAAATTGTTTTAAAGATTTGTTGTACAGCACTGCGAGTAAAGTAATAAAATTCTCAAACGAAACATACTGATCCAAATACAACAACAATACCAAGTTAAACTAAGAATTTAAGATCACACATCTATTTCCATCGTCGATTAAAACCGATTAAATTCCCTCAGTTCAGACAATGAACCTCTTTAGAAATTCTCAACTGCTGGCAAGACCAGTTGGCAAAACGCAGCTGACTGATGCCTCATTTTTCTCCAAAGAGAAGACAAACGAGAAAGAGCGCATCCCGAGGAGGGTTTAAATCGACAGAAGGAGTTAGGGCAGCGTTTAATGCCGCGCCGGGTGCGAGAAGTCTGCTCGACTCAGGTAGATGCAACAGGATTTATTCGCATCGGAGAGGAGGAGATATCCATGAGAACATCAAACTAAATCTAGAAAATTTCTACCTGCAGCTTTCGACCTGGCCAGTCGATTTCGTGGCCGCGAAACGTGCAAGGAGGTGAACCAGGTGAAAGGGGGGAAAAAGAGAAAAGAAAAAAAAAAAGGAGGAAAGAGACTCGAGGAGACTCGAAATTTCTGAAAAGGGGCTTTAAAATTGCCTGAGGCCCCCCTCTGCTCGATTCGATGACGTCTATCGAAATTACGCAACCCCTTAAGCTTCGTATATCCCTTCCTTCGATCCTTTTCATATCTACGAGTGTAGAGATTTTCCTTTTTCTACCATTTTCACCGCGGGACGATCCTACTACCGAGTCGTCGTTTAACGAGGCGGATATGCAGCTCCGTCGTCGACGTCGATGAAAAATGACTATTCTCCGAGATAATTTAGGAGACGACCGGCGCGGACGTGTGGGAAAATACTTCTGGAACATTATTTTTAGGGTCCTGTTGGATTGCTATTTCGCTTTTTTAAACGAGAGAAGCGGTGTTCTGGAAGTCTCTTTTTTTTTTTTTTTTTTAAATCAAATAAATGATAAGAGCAAGCTTATTATTGATTACACTAGATAAAGTAATTTTCTATTTTGGTTCTGCACTTCTTTAGTTACGTTTATGAAAATTTTAAACGGTTTACTGTATTACTATACTGATCATAAACTCGTAACATACAAATTTATACGAAAAGTTTTCGTGCAAATTCACAATTTAAAAAAATACAAACCACTAGATAGAATGTTGTTTTACATAATTGTACAGTTTTGCACTTAAAAATTTCCTATGAATCGTATGAATCTATCCCGTGAATATTTCGCCACTTAAATTCGACTTAAATTTTATAAATTCTAAAGAAATTAAAGTACCAGTATCGTTGGTCTTTAATGGGTCAAGGATCGTGGAATTTTTAATGATCAAACAAAAACGCGCTACTTATTAATATTTGGATCTCAGGAAAGGGAAAGAAAAGGAAGAAAGGGAAAGAGAGATACAAGGTGTACGTTGCAGTTGTAGGCGATAAAAAAGGAGCGACATGAAATGATTTCGTACACGTTTCAACGGTAAATGGATTTCTACGAGGGGATACTTGTGAAGGATCGCATGCACCTTCGCGTTATGCTTGTATCCCGAGCCGGATCCTTAAATTGACTCGATTTTTAAGGTCCAACCCGAAGAGGAGGCTGCACCGCGGGGATCCTGTGTTTCTTTTCCATTCGCGACGTTCTCCCTTTCATCTTTGCTCCACATCGTCTTGGTCGGCCGATTGATAAAAATCAAGCGAGAGGGAGAAGGGGGGAAAAAAGAAAAGAGGAAATAGAACGGCGCAGAAAAATGACAAAGGGGGTTGAAGGGTGGTGGTGATATCGGAACGTCCGAGAAAATAATTGACGCAGTTAACCAGCTAGGAAGAAGATTCATAAATTAAAACGTCTCATATACGCTTGAAGGAAGAAACATGCTTCTACACTGTACGATAGTTTGTGAGTTTTATTGCGCGTGTACGACGACTTTCAAGACGGAAGATATCAACAGGCAGTTTAACAGAATGTGAAATAAAAATTGAAATGAAATGTGTAATTATTTTTTTGTATGAATTTGTTTCACTATATTTACAGTATTTTATTACATACCTGTTGTTGCATTGTCTAGAAATTATTCGTTTGATCTTGTACATAAGAAGAAACAGTTTTAAAACATGTCACAAGATACACCGTTTAAAATCGATTCTTGCATGGCCTGTACAATATTTGAAAAATATTTGACTATATATTCTCTGATTAGAGGTGTCTATCGAATATTAATTTCAATAATTTCACGGTATCGAAGCCTAACTCCTCGAATCGAAACATCCCTCTACAACAAACGCGGAACGAACAACCGTGGCGATGACATTCGACCCGATGCACGGAGGAGAAGAAGAAAAAAAAAAAAAAAAATCACGAAAAATCTTCCGTATCATGTGGACCCATTTTTACGAGATACTTAAGCCTTTAAACGAGAATCTGGCTCTCCGATTTCCGAATCCGGCATAGAGAAATCGGTTAACCCCCGGGGATCGACACGTCCGAGGGTCGCGCGATTTTTCTCAGGGGTTAAATCGACCGTGGCCTCCAAAAACTCGCGTTTTTTTTTTCTTTTTTTTTTCCCTCCACTCCACGAGCTCGCAGGTAGCTACAGCTACCTGCACACGCGCGTACGTCCGCCAGTAACCCGGAAAAGAATCCAAGTAAGGGGAGAAAAAAAAAAGAAAGAAACGGAGGAAAAAAAGGTGAAATAAAATAAAAGACAGAGGGGAGGTGAACCTCAGACGGGAAGGAGAAAGAAAAAAAAAAAAAAAAACGAGGAGAGATTACGCAAGGAACCTCGGAAGGGGGAAGAAAAACACGCAGCAATCTCTCACCCCTGGAATCTCTCCCTCGTTCTCTTCCCTCCCTGTCTCTTTCTCGGCCTCTGTCGCGCTCCGAGAGGCGCAGGGGGGTAAGAAAACAGGGTAAAAGTGAGTTAATAGTCGGTAAAACGGTATTCACCCGGTGACCCGACGGGGTTGCGAGCCCTGAACCTTTCTCCTACTTCCTTCTCTTTTCTCACTACCGTCAAGTTCCTCTCTTCCGGAAAAGGGGTCGAAAAACGGGACACGCACAGGATGGGGATGAAAAGGGATCATCGTTCCTTCTTTTTTCATTCTCGTTTTCTTTTCTTTTCTTTTTTTTTTTTTTTTCTTTTTTTCTTCTTTCGTAACAGGGGAATGGAAAACCGAGACACGAGACACTCCTTTCGCTGAGAAATCTGAGTAATCGTTCCTGGGTACCATCGTCGAGCATCGTCGCGAGGGACTTTGGGTATTTTTGTGATTTTTCTTTTATAGGGAAACTCTCGGATAGCAGCGTGAGAGAAAATTTTCAGAAATTCGCGATTATCGGTTAATATGTCGGTAGTATACGGATACCTATCTGTGTTAATCTAGCAGCAGCGACTTGGTAAAATATTGGTACAGGCCTCTT